TATATATATATATATATATATATATATATATATATATATATATATATATATATATATATATAAACTACCCATATCAGATCGGCTCTGGGTCAAACGATCATAACTCTGTTTCCATCAGCTGAAGTCTGAGAATGAGCTGGATGTTTTGAGTGTCCTTCCGAAAGGATGGCAGCCCGACTCTCCGACCTCGTCCTGTCCGTGTCTGCTGGTTCCCTCAACACGCGTCACCTTCCTGGCCCGCAGGTACCGCTTCATCATCGAGCTGGACTTGAGCCCATCCACGGGCATCGTGGTAAGACATCGCTAACATCATGTAGAGATTGTTTACTCTAAAATAAAAATTCTGCCATGAATTACTCTCGAGCTTCATGTCATTTCAGTCCACTGAAATCTTCAGCACACAAATTAAAGGGGATCTATTATTCCCCTTTTTTACAAGATGTAAAATAAGTCCCTGATGTCCCTAGAGTGTGTAGTGTAAATAAGGTTTTATATCTCTGAGGCTTTGATTTGATTATAAATTGTGGTGTTGCTGTCGCTTTAAATTCAAATGAGATTGTGCTCTTTTCAAAAGAGGGTGGAGCTACAAATGCCTGCGTGTCAGCATAGTGGCAGATTCAAAAACAAGACTAACATTCTATGCTCGCGAGGGAGAGATGATAACTAATGGGCGGGGCTTTCTCTCTGATGACACGTACAAAGGCAGAATGTCAATCAAAGTGTTTCTGCAGACTCTTTTTATCAATAATGACTTTGTTTGCCTGCATTTGTGCATTTATTACGGAAAGTATGATGCTTTCATGGTGGCTTTAATGATAATTCATCATACTGCCCATAGTAACAGCTGACAAGGAAGAGAAAACTGCTGAATTAAGTAACTTTTACAGCTTTTTTCTTTATTTGCACAAAAGTGTTTTTGAAGTGTTCTTCGTATGATTACACCCGAATCGAGTCACATGGGATGTTTTGACAATGTTTTTGGTCCCCTTTCTGGCCATTTTGTGGGTTTAAATGAAGTATAGAAGATGTCAGCTTGGTTAAAACAAGCCTGTCAGTGAACAAGTAATAGACATTTAGGAATAGCCCAAAACAGGTCTGGATCTCAGGCGATTGTGAATCTACATCTGCACATTGATGGAGCGGTTTACTGAGCTGTTTTCTGCCTTCAGGTGTTGGTTCAGGGCTGTCAGCTGGACTGTATGGATTTGGAGCAGTTCTTGCATCAGATCTATCAGCAGCTGAGAGCCGTGGAGAGCAGCATCGCTGAAGTCTTACAGCAGTCATTTTTAAAGTTTTTAATTGTGTTCTTGAAGCGTTTTTTGTATGATTTCACCTGAGCCAAGTCACGTGGAATGTTTTGACAATGTTTTTGTCTCCTATCTGGCCACCTTGTGTGTTTAAATGAAGTCTAATAGACGTTAACGTGGCTAAAACAAGGCTGTCTGTAAACGTCTAATAGGCGTCTAAGAATAGCCCAAAATTAGACTATTCATCAAAGAAACAGAAATGAATGACTACACAAGTCTGTCTAATCTGTGCATTCTTAGACGTCTATTAGATTTTCACTGACAGCCCAAATTTAGCCTTGTTTTAGCCAAGGTGTCTATGTTTAGACATCCATTAGACATGTATTAAACACAATATTTTTGGTGGGTTGCAGTCAATGGAGGGTCAGCGAGCTCTCGAATTTAGTCTGAAATGTGAAACACAAAACTTGTCTTATGTTGCACAGGTATACATTTGACAATGACCAACAAAAATTGGTTTAATTTTTGGATTTTCCTTAATTTATTTAAAAATCATTAGGATAATAAGTAAAGATCATCATCCATGGAGGTATTTTGTAAGTTTACTATTGTAAATTGAACAAAACTTGACTTTGATTAGATTAGATTCAACTTTATTGTCATTACACATGTACAAGTACAATGCAACAGAATGCAGTAGTTATTTTCATTGCTAAGCGC